ATTTCAATGCTGGTGGCAGGTTGATAGTGGGTTGTGATCAACAATCTTTTATTTACTTTTTATACCGTAAAGTGTTGACAGTTGATTATTTTCCAGATACAGGCAGATACAGGCTTCCAACAATTCCTATTGTTCTACAAAACAATCAAAACATTTTCATCAAGAATGTCAAAGCAGGTTGGAAGYATAAATAGTTTCTTAGTACGAGGAATAATTGCAATATATCGMCATCAGAGACGAGATCACTCTGTCGTTAGCCGCTCTCTGATTGGCTAATATAAACGGCTGTTGCTTTTGGAACACAATCAGCCGGGGTGATTGGAATTCATAATCTATCATGGTTGAGATACATTCAATGATTCAAATGTTTATAAGACTTTGAGGTATGTTTAGTTGTTTTTCATGAACTCATGAATGATTTTGAGAAGTCAACCACTCAATGGAAGAAAGTAACCATACTCGGCAGATACATTAAGTATTAGCGTGTATCAACTCACAGCTTTCTTCCCTTCTTACACAATAGTAACCATGCTCGGCAGATACATTGAGTATTAGCGTGTATCAACTCACAGCTTTCTTCCCTTCTTACACAATAGTAACCATGCTCGGCAGATACATTGAGTATTAGCGTGTATCAACTCACAGCTTTCTTCCCTTCTTACACAATAGTAACCATGCTCGGCAGATACATTGAGTATTAGCGTGTATCAACTCACAGCTTTCTTCCCTTCTTACACAATAGTAACCATGCTCGGCAGATACATTGAGCCGTATTAGCGTGTATCAACTCACAGCTTTCTTCCCTTCTTACACAATAGTAACCATGCTCGGCAGATACATTGAGTATTAGCGTGTATCAACTCACAGCTTTCTTCCCTTCTTACACAATTCAGAATTAGTGAAGAGAAGAGAAGCATTACACGGCATTTATTATCAACTCAGCAATTTGTGAAGAACTGAGGGGTTGACGTCTAGTCACCCAGTCGGGCGCCATTTCGAATGGATAAGCACGTGATCAAAACCTCGAGAATCTGTCACGCGTGATCTGCAGCTATCACACCAGGATCAGCTCCCCAACAACCACCATCTTGAATTGGAAAATATGGAAACGATGCTGCCAAGGCTGCTGATTTTGTATGTAGAAAAAAAAATTATCCAAATGTGATACTTAAGATTATTGTTCTATTAAAGACTTCCATTTGTTCTCGAGCCTACTGTCTTTTCGTTTTTTGTCAGCGGTCTGCTTCACAAATGGATCTTCGTGGATTGCTTCCCAGAAATCCGTGCGCCGTGGGCATAAAACCGAGGTCGGGTGGAGACAATTGAGCAAACCGCTTTCATTTTTTTTGCTGTAATAACTATGGAGACAAGACGAATTGTTTTTACGAGCAAGCTAAGTGATTAGTATATATATATACGATTGTGTTACATTGTGTTAAGATTGTGTTATCCTACCTGATTCTGTTATTTGAATTAATTGCACAACATTTCCGGCAAAAATTGATATAGTTAAAACAAAAAGGA